TAAGTTGTTCAGTTCATATCCATCCATGTCTTCACACTTGAAGTCCCTCCCCTGCCTTTGCAGCGTTCTACACCATCTGTGAAGACGGCTGTCTCCTGCACTACACTTGAGCTGGTCATTCATATCTGTCATTGTGTTTAGGCATAGGTGAGGGGCCCCTCCTTAGCTTTGCCTAAAGGAACCGCACCGCTGACTCTCTGGCTGCCACTTCTTCGGTCACCTTGCTACCAATCTAAACTCCATCAGTTGTTAAGGCCATCTTTGTAAAGTGTACCTCTGACCCTGCTCTAAAACCTCCGCAGTCTCCCTTATTGCTTTGTATTAAGTGATCCTCAATCTTTTCTCAAACTCCTCAAAAATGTGTTGAACGCATTATGCTGTTTTTCTCCTGTCGATTTTGTTCATGCGTTGCTTTACCTACTAGAACAGCCAACCCTGCCCCTTCCTGAGCATCTGTCTCAAATGCCCCTCCTCCAAGGAGCCTTTCATGATTTTGCCAACTAGAGATTATCACATCTTTCTTTGACTTTTCCATGGTATTTATCTGTACCTCTTTTATTACATCAATCTTGTGTGGCAGGTATTATCTGAATTACATGCTTAGTGGGTTTTTTGCCTTGTCTATTTTGTTTTTTGTTGTTTTGTTTATACTTTAAAGATGAAGATTTCTGTTATCTTTGGATCTCATCCTCTCATGAAAGGACTTCAATTTTTTTAAAAAATTAATGTATTCAATTGACTTGAATTCAGGGTATATTCTACAAATTTTACTCCATGTGTGAGTCTTGCAATTTCATTCTTTTGGGGATAATTCTTATTCTAAGAAACTAGTGTGGTTTGTGGTTTAGAGTCATGGTTTAAGCTGCCCTTAGGAAGAATGAAAAACAGCTGGTGTCCAAGGAGCTCTGGAAATTTGTCAATAAACTAATTGCAGAATGGAAGCCAAGAGTAAAGAAGTTTGACTTGTGTATCTTAAGCTCTATCTATATTATTATTTTTTTTTGAAAAGATACTGTTTTGGAAAATTAAATATTTCAAATAATGTGTTTTGACTAAAACCAGGGACAATATATCCAAAGAAAATATTATACAACTATAATATGAATGTCAACACTCTGGTGTTCAAATTGCTTCCACTGTATTTAGTCAAGCATACACTAACACAACCAAACACTCAAAGAAGATAAAATCACTTAATTTTAAGGAGCTTTTTTAGAATTTATGAAAAACTTCTTTTTTAAATTTTAGGTGCATGGGATAAACTATTATTATAAGTGATGAGAAACCCTATTTAAATATATATCATAATATCAAAATTGATGCTGCTTATAAACATATAACAATTCATAAGGATTTCAGCTAAATTCATTAAATACTGGTTGATAATGGTCTATACACAAGAAATTTCCCAAAAATATAGAGATTCAAAGGTGAATAAACATAGATTTATCACCCTGAAAGCTTAAAAATAGGAGGTTTGCAAGAAATACACAAATGACTATAAATCAAGTTCAATTTTGATGAGAGCAGTATGATAGACATAAAGCATTACAGTGGTTCAGAAGGAGAAACCAAATGTTATTTTGAGTGTAAGAAATATCAGTAAAAGACACAGCATTTTGATATAAAACTGGAAGGTTAGGATTATAAGTAATGGAATAAGTTAAGGAGGAGACATTAGAGGGAGAAGAAATGGACTGGGAAAAGCCCCGAGGGCAAAGTTGTGGATGAAAGGGATTGCAAATCAGGCTGGTGCAATTAGAAAAAGCCCTGAGCTGAAGGCCATCCCCATGATGATGTCGCTCATTGAAGAGGATAATATGATCACATGGCTGGTGGCCATAGTGAATTCAGTGTCCTAAGTTTTTGAAGTACATAGTAGAGGTTGGGAACTGAGCTCACTTTCAAATTGCTCACCATCCCAATCAATGTTGAACAAGTTCAAATAAAGGCAACAGTGTTAAGTTGAGATGGGTATTTTTCACCCAGCCTGGAGATTAAAGTCACTTAAGGTTCTTGCTCCGACGTCTAAGCTACCTCTTATATTATACTTCCCTCAAAGTTTCTCTGAGTCTTCATGAGGGATCCAGATGAATTATTTCAGTTGGTTAATTTACCCAGTGTCCTTCTAACTTATGATTTCACTAAATTGAGTGCATTTTTCTAATTGAACTAATCAATTTTCTCCCTCTGCCCTTGCACTTCCATTGCCTGGATTGGTCTTCCCTTATCTCTCATGTGGTTCCCTCCTTCACCTCCCTCCAGACACTCTTAGCAGGCTCCTCGCTCACCACCCTATTCAATTTCATGACCTCACCACAACCTGCTTTATTTTTCTTCATACCCTTATCACCCTTGAACATACTATGCAATTTATTTATTTATCTTGTTTAGTGTCTAATTCCTCACCCAGAGGGCCAAGGATTGTCTATTTTATTTGTGAATGTATACCCAGTGCTTAAAATAGTGCCTAACATATAGTAAATGCTCAATAAATATTATATGAATAAATACATGTGAATGAACTATATGCACTGTTGACATGATAATTTGAGACAGTCACATTTTACTTTATAGAACTTACTATTTTAACTACTGTTTCTCATTAACCTTACTGAGTTAAGGAGGATTTATAAAGTATCTACTATATAACCAGCACTGTATCTGATTCTTACAAAATAAATCATGTGTAATAGCTCCTATATTTGAGAAGCAAATAATAATAGAATAGAATATGAATACTATAGGATTTCAGCTGGCATTTAAAGGAGAAAACAAGGATATCCTGGCATCTTCAGAGGTTTCCTCCAATGGAGCATTTGCTTGATCTGGCAATTGAAAAGATGCTCCCCAACACAAGCATGGGTTTTGAAATTACAGAGACCTAAATTCTGATTCCAGTGATACCATTCATTATGCTTACCACATTGGCCTAATCATTAACTTCTCTAGGTCTAAGTGATTTCATTTGTAAAATGAAGATCACAATCTTAACCTCAGAGGGAGAATGTGAGATCATCTATGGAAACAATTAGCCAAGTCCTTGGCACACAGAAGAAATTAAATGCATGTGGAGTGAATTAATTCTTGACCATTAAGGAAAAATATAATGAGAAAAATGTGGCTTTTTCAACCTATTTCTACTGTGTTCTACCCCATCTACACCTTTACTCATAATGATCCCTCTGCCCTCAATGTCACCAAATTAGTGAATTGCATCATATACTGATTGGTTATTATGTATATTATTATTCCCATTTTAAAGATAAGAAAATTGAGTCTTGTACACATTAAGTAACTTGCACAAGGCCACAAAGTAAGCAGCAGAGTTAGGATTTGAACCCAGAAGAGCTCGCCTCCAAAGCCGGTTCAGTTGTCTTGATCCTCTGCTTAGTCAGCATAGCAATGTGATTGCTGCCAGAAGTATTCCCTAATCCCACAATCTGGCTGTTGTACCTTTCTGATCTCACACAGAACCTCATGCATATTGCTCTCATAATTTATGATAATTTTAAAAACGTATCTGTTCCTCTTCTTTCTACATCTGCATATTACTTTCTAGAAAGGTGATGTGGTAACTGTTTCTGATTTTAGATCTGGAATGAGTTTTCACTGGGCACCTTTCACAAGAAGTTCACAGAAACCCATGAAAGCTAATGTTTATTGAACATTAATGTTTATTTTGCTGTAGGCTCTGGTCTAATTGCTCTCCCCCTCAACTCATAACAACCCTATGTGGCAGGCCCTTCCTTGATCCTCATGTGAGAGATGATGGAAATGAAACACAATCAGGTAATGAATTCACTCAGTTTATATTCCAGGACTGGAGTTTGAACCCAAGCATTTAGATTTTAGAGCCCATACTTTTAATCAGAAGACTATATTGCCCCTCATACACCAGGACTGATTACTTCTTCTTTTCCTGTTTCTTTAAAAAATCCTAGGAAAATAGCATTTTCACAGAATCTAAATTGTACTTCTATGAACTATGACTCTCTTACATTTGGCAAGTCTTTATTTTTCCTGTGACTCTGACATCTGCAATTAGCCAACCTTGAAAAGCTTATTTAAATAAAATAGATGAATTTAGAACCTAATAGAAATTCCAGATTTTAGGTCAGCACTTATAAAAAGTTGTTAGTGATACCACCCCCATCCCCCCCACCCCAACTTAGAAATACCATATTGGTGGTCTTCATTGTCTTAAACAGGCTCCAAGCTGTGCTCTTGGAAGGTGCTGGAATTTAAACCATAACCTTGCATAAATTCAAAACCAAAAATAAAGTAACTTTAAAAAGACCCTTTCAATACCAACTTAAGTTGGTTTTTTTGTTTTTTTTTTTTTTACTAAGTAAAATGCTTTAAACACAGAGAGTCTATTTTTAAGAGAGAGCAAGGAATGTGTTCATGGCAAGTTGGAACAGTGTGCAAGTGTGCTGGCTTCACTGTTATCTGAACGACAAAGCATTAAATCACAAAGAGGAAAAGTCAGCATGTTCTCTGAGAATACAAATAGATTAGCGTCAGGAAGAGCTTTTTCCAAGAAAGGGCAAGACACCTACCCAGAGAATAAATCATGCACATGAAACCTATAATTTTAAAAAATTATTTTCAAAAAATGTTTTAGCTGATTAATATGACTGTTAGATAAACAAAGCACAGAAAAAGTTCCATGTGAATTTTTTTAAAAAGTGGACCTTTCAAACGCCATCAGTCAACATACCCCACTCTTTATCTATGTTTCTTGTACAATATGTGATTCACCAGTGGTTATGGAACTCACAAAAGAAAATTAGATCCCACCCCTCTTTGATTCTATGATGGAACAGTACTTAAGGAGTCCTTCACAGAACTTACCAGGGACATAAGAACCTTTCCTAAGTTAAAATCTGTAACAATCCCCATATCCCTTAACATATAAACACTCTTTAGGTTCTGCCAATGCACAATTTAAATAAAGCCCTCTCCCTCAAAATTCAAAGAAAACACATTCCTCTTACCATATATTCCATGTTTGCGGCTGGGGGGAACACTTTGCCCCGAACTTGGTTATGATAATCAAGAATGGCGATCATGTCATTCTGCGAAATGTAGCGCTTCCGCCTGGCTTTGGGGATATCCGCAGAATCTAGCTGTGCTGTTACAGCAGCTTCAATATCAGTGAAATTATTGGTTGGCGGGGATGAGTCAGTGGAATCGGGTAAGACGGCAGCACTTGCTTCACAGAGAAGGGAGAACAGGAGTGCACTGCTGACGGCAGAGATTGCTATCATTTTGAGGAGTGGAGAAGGAGAGGCCACCCAGCTTACTTTGCTTTAAAGCAGAAAGGTAGAGTTAGGGTCTATGAAAAGAAAACAAACAAAAAAAACAGGGCCAGAGGGTATGAATTTACACAGTCATCATTTGGGAGCATAACTTGATTTGATTTTCTCCAAAAAAAAAAATCCAAACCAATGTTGGACTCAAGCTTAGGAGACAATCTTTAGTAATCTCTATACATTTCACTTGGTGTTACCAGGTAGATTCCTAAGAGGAACTCCTATAGCTAGAGAAAAATAAACAGCATGACTACTAATCCTAAAATGAATGTGAAACATTTACCCCAAATGCCTGAGCCACAGAGTGCATTACTGCATATTGATTTTCAGAGGGACATCTTTAAGAATTGAAATTCATTTTGAGAGTGAAGAGATAAATTGCATCACAGGCAACAACAGAGAAGGTGCTGGTAATGTCAGCCAGACATATATGGACACCAAGTGATAGAACACATACCCCAAAAAATTATAATCATACAATCTCATTTCTAAAAAAATAAAAATAAAAATGTGAGCTACTTTAAAATCAATGCATGCAAAACAAACTTGTTGAGCTAAATAGCTTACCTCTGCACAAGGCCAAAATGAATATATTGTTCTTCCAAAAATTTAAAGTTCTTTGCTAGGCTGTAGCATGAACTCTTGTAAGAGGAGTGTGTCTTATTACAAGCTTGCAGAGAGCAAAACTCTGCAATGTTTGAAAGCTGCTGGCTACAGGAGCAGCTAACAGCTTTTATATGTCACAGTCTGTAACGTCCAGAAGGGCAGTCTTTCTTAGGGTATCTCCTAGCCAAAATCAAAGGGGAGGGGTTTGGGATAGAAAAAACAGTGATTGGGTGGCAACCTTTTTATGTGGGTGGTGAGGAAATTGAGTCACACCCACAGCTTACAAAGTACAAACCATAAAAGACAAACCCTTTTTTCTCTGGGCTTCCACCTTTTCTGTGAGTGGTTAATTTTCCTCATTTAATGCTTTCTAGTTCTGGTTCCCATACAAAAATGAGGGGGAAAAAAAAGGACTGTGAGTTCTTGAAAACACAGAGAGCTGAGTAACAAGCAGTACATTTTTTTTTAAGACAGTAAATGACATGGGAGCTGAAAAGAACAAGCTGATATTACATCAAGAGACCAGCTCACACAGTTAATCTAGGTGGCCACAAATATAAGTCCAGAGGGATGCCAGACAAATGAGTAATAGCCAAACTATAGCATATGATATTAGGATAATAGATGCTAAAGTGGTGGTACGCTCTGTCTCCATATGGCTTTATTCCTTGAATTTGTATATGTAGTCTCTCTCTCTCTTTCTCTTGTTTCGCTCTCCTTTGCTTTTTTTCTTTCCCTATAGAGCGAGGCAGCCAATTACCTGCCTTTTACCTGCCCTGCATACAATGCAAATAGAGAAGCTCATGACAGATGACAGCAGCCAAGATAACATCTGTTTCAGGTTTAGAAGCATATATTTGAAATTTTAAGCAGAGAGCGGCTCAGCTTCTCAGGAAACACGTTGGAGGGCACAGCACAGAGGCCATGAAGAATTTAACAGCAGCAGCAGCTGCCAACAGTCAGAAGTGCCTTCTTAGAAAGATGCCATTGAACCAAAATCCATGTCTGGCAAGACAAAAGCCAAGAATGTGAATGTGAGGGCAATCTGTAATAAAAAGACCCTCAAAATGCCGTGTGTCATGATAACATTAACAAAATGTGGACCATTCACAGTTAGTGGCAACAGGAATCCTGGGAAATATACACTTTTCAGTTAAGAAACTTACTGAACATACACTGACTTGTCCAGTTTGCCAATGTGATTGTCTCCTACATGCATCAGCGGGAGAAGTACTACGTGAATTTATAGTTGTCAGAAATGATGGTCATGTGGTTAGCACACTGGACTCAGAGCCAAGTTTCCCGGGCTATATTTCCAGTTGGGTCTCCAGCAGTATGTGTGGCCTGATGCATATTGTTTAACTCTTCATTGGTGCATATAAACACGGGAGGGAAAAGGTGCATATTCTATGTTGAGACCGACTTCATCAAATTCCTTAAGAGAATAGCAAGGTATTTGAAACCAGAAGTGTCACTGGAGTTCAAAGTACAATGATGAGATGTAGTCTTAGACGTCAATAATGTGCGTCAAAGTTCAGGTTTTGCTTTATTTTGATGAGTGTTAATCTCCTAACTGAAGTGAAGTCATTTTAGGAGAACTTAAGTTATACTAAAAGCTGGAAATAGGAATTAATTAACAGAATAGAATTGAAAAGGCAAGAACATATAACATGAGCACAAGAGGTGAGCAGGAATGTTATGAAACATCAGAGCAGCTTGAAGGAATGCACGTGGCTGCTCACAGCTGCAGATGTTCAACAGCTGGAACTGTCCAGCTAAGGTCTCACTCCTTCAGAAAGTACTCCCGGCACCTCGAATGAATCTCAAGGATGCTGTGTTAAGGATTTTTTTTTTTTTTTTTAAAGATTTTATTTATTTTATTTTTTCCCCCCAAAGCCCCAGTGGATAGTTGTATGTCGTAGCTGCACATCCTTCTAGTTGCTGTATGCGGGACTCGGCCTCAGGATGAACGGAGAAGTGGTGCCTCAATGCGCACCCGGGATCCGAACCTGGGCCACCAGCATCGCAGCGCGCGCACTTAACCACCAAGCCACAGGGCCGGCCCTGTGTTAAGGATTCTTGAATCAAATAGAAGGTTAGACAACGTACTCGATGTGGGCCATCCAGCTCAAAGGTCCCAGGACTTTTTGAGAAATTCCTACCAGCACTGAATAGCCTATACTTTTCAACCTATTGCATATAGCTGTCCAGCATATAGGGGACTAAAGGGCTTTTAATGCATGAGCAGTGGACATGAGCCTTTCTTGCTTAGAATCTCATAAAAATCAAATATTGCTTTCAAGGTTACTTCTTTGTCATATACACAAAGAGATATTGTCCATCTCTTGATGTATGATTTGAGGGACTTCCATGGGATAAAAATGCATTCCTTGAGAAACTTGTCTGAACCGTAAATGGGTTTCCTCTAAGAAGGAGTGGAGAGATGGAGGAGGAGAAAGAGAAAGAAGGAGTTTCTGAGATGGACCTAAATAGGATATTACCTCTCCGAGTCCAATTATAAGAGGGCAGAGCTGAGAGTTGCTTAATCCTGAGACCCTGAGGCATGTCAATGATTTCAGATGTCTTTCAACACACATGGATTATATTGTGGAATTTCAGACTATTAAGGAAACCCACAAGACTATGGAATCATAAAAGAAAAGACCTGTGGGAGGAGAGTTAAGAATTCTGCTTCCAAGCAGACATTATTGCCAGAAGAAGTATTTGAAATGCTTTGGAAGTAATTTTAATTTTAAAATACTTGCAAAATTAAGAGGCACGCATCCAAGTTGTCAGTAAGAGAACTATTAATGAACAACTAACAATGAGGCGGTTCTTTATGAGATCTCTTCTTGAAAAAGACCATTGACATGTTTCAAAACCTTTAGGAGAACGCTTGCCAACAGAGACAGAAAAGGAATGTAGCTATATTATTGAAAAGAAATACATGTACAATTGGCAGCAATTATTGTCTGTCTTGAAACCTGTGAGAAAACGGTTGTGATTTTTAAACTGAAATCAGATATAAGTGTCCCAGAGTGGCAAACCTGCTTAAGCAAAGGTACTTGGGGATGTGCGTGTGTAAGCGTGTGTGTGTGTGTATACAGATGTGCGTGTAGCTTTAGTCTAAATCCTTTCTAATCAAAATGTGTTCTATGGGCTAGGAGCATTGACGTCACCAGGGAGCTTGTTAGAAATGCAGAATTTCAGGCCCCATCCAAGACCCAGTGACTCAGAAACTGCATTTTATTAAGATCATCAGATGATTCACATGTTTATTAAGATTTGAGAAGTACTATTGAAATCACTTTTTTTTTTCAGAAACACAACATGCATGCCCATTGAATAAGTTATTGTAGAAATCCATTTATCTAGTAACATGGGGAGAACCAAAATCAATCTAGGTGTATACAAGTATCTTTGAAGAGGGGAACACAAGTCCACATCTGCTTTGTAAGGAAGAAAAGGCGACTGGGAAAAGGACCTACAAACAGCATCTCACAAAGAAATTATTTAGCAGTGGTCAGAGCCTTTTTCAGATTATCATACAAACTCTGCTTGTTATTTAATTTATATTAATTTATCACAAGGTTGTTGAAACAATGGAAGGCAGTATATGTGAAGGTGTTCTGTAAATTGTGACATGCCACGTAAATAGAAGCTATAATTTTATTCTGGCATCCCCAGGACAGAAGCCCAAATCTTCCTTTGTTCCTCATGCTTTCTTACCTTGTTTTGTATATCCACTAGCTCTGCAAAACATGTGGATTTTTAATCTCTGAAATGTATCGCCACTCTACCCCTTTTTCTTTTTATCATTATTAGGACCACATAAAATTAATCCCATTACCTTTTTCTAGGATTACCCAAGTGTCTCTTCTCTTATTGATTATCCACATTGCCTTTGGTCACCTTCCTAAAAAGTGAATCCGTTCATTTCACTCATCTACATATAACTCTCTGTTGCTGTCCATTGCCGATAGGGTCAAGTTCAAGTGCCTTGACCTGCCTTGCAAGGGCCTTGTGACTATAAACCAATCTACCTTGTAAGCCTTATTTACTACAACCATCCCTTTCTGTTTCTGTACTCTGGCCACAATTTATGCCCCAACTACACTTAACCACTTTCTTTTTCCTGTTAGCTTCAGGAAGCTCACAAGCCCATGTGTGTTTGTTCATTGGGTAGGGTGGTAGCCTTTTTGCCTCTGATAATGTAATTATTACAGATAACCCTGTATGTTAGTATAAAAAAAGCTTAGTAAACAGTAAGATAACATTGCATTGTGTATTAACTTCCTATTAATAAATTATATTCTTGCTTAATTACAAGTCTCATATAGCATTCTAGAGTCATCAACATTTACAAATGTCTAAATGAGCTTTGCAAACACGTTTTTTACCAATTTAATCATTAATAATCATTAATCAACCTAGAGTATATGTAGGGGATAATTTGATGAAAGGTAGAGGCTTTGCAAGAATGGTAAAGAGTTTTGGTGGCTAATGTGTATTTCCATTTCCATTTGTAATGTTGTAGAGGATTGTGAATTTGTTCGATTCAGAAATGTGCAGAATAAACACAAATTATTTTCAAATTTTGAGCCCTCTGTCTAATAAATACTATATATAAATATATAAAATATATAGCTTATATATTGTATGTTTCTAATATATAAATTTTATATATTATATAATAAATATATATAATTATAATATGTAATACCAAAATACTGTATTTTCAAAATATTTAAGAAATTTTGTGAAAGATGTGTAATACCATCTATCATATAGTATAATTTAATTTGTATTTAGTATTGCAAAACTATATTACCTAGTATAGATTCAAGTATCTATATTTTAACTCACTATTTCTTCTTTTTATCTTTCTTACAAAAAGTGATTAGAAACTAAATATTACATAATGATATTTCTGTGATTATTTCAACTTCTATGTGTTTATTTTTCTTCAAGTTATAAAAAACCCACTTTTAGTTTTCTGCACTGGAAAAGCCAGCATAAAAGTTAACAATTTTGGGTGACCAAACTTGAGAACTATTAGAAATAATTCCAAAAATCATGGTTCCAAAGCAACCTTTTAAGTCCCTGACACAGCTTGATTCAAA